GGTAAAGAGTCGAAGCTACGGTGCTGCATGGCATTAACTAACAAACACTGGCATCTTTCAAATTCACTTTCACACTTCTAAACCTGTCATAAGAAAAACAATGTTATTATCTTTAGTTATTCCCAAGCTGCAACCAGCAGCAAAAAAACGAAGCTAGTCTCTCGGGCTTTAGCAGGGGAGGTCAGTCTGGGTGACCCACAACAATTGTCTAAAGCAGCAACATGTCAAAGCTCTCAGAGATGTCACAAATGCTGTTTTGGGCAATATTCCTGTTACTGATGACACAATAAATAAAGTTTACGCTCAAACAAGCATTACCAGACTTGTGTCGACACAATCAGCTTACGGACATCACAATAACCGCACGCGTCACAGTGCTGTGATTTTAATCTTATATTGTTTGTTGTCACTCTTTTCTTTTCTCTCTTTGGCTTTGCCTCAGGCAAAAAGCCCCGAGCCAAAAATCACCCGCTTGCAGGTCTCACCTTGGATAATTCAAGTTACTAAAATCGACCTCGCAACTGTTGGTGCCTCAGGTTTGATGTGTGACGTTCTTACTAATTATTGTGCCTGTGTCACAGCAATGTACCCACACAGTCTGAATGCAGCTTTTCTGTTAGCTGACATTAAGCTGCCCTTAAAAAAAAACGACAGCACCAAAGAACTTCAGACACACTTGGAAACATCACTACAGATTTGTCCATCTTTTATACCCAGCCTGTTTCAGGCTTTGACATCTGATTGAAACTCTGGGTCAAAAGTACCAAACACTGTGAGACAGTGCCTTGCAACAGCACCTTTCCAATTTGCTTGTATTCTGTATTATATAAAAATATTACAAAGGATCCCTGTGTTGGATTAAACAAGCCAGATATCGGTTTCAAGATTCCTCTCGGTGCGTTTGCTTACATGAATAACCCTGCTGTGGCGCGTAAAGGGAATCCCAGTCACGATAAAGAGGAGCCACGGGGGATATGCTGCACTCTGCAGTGAGTAGTCATCGCTAACACCAGCAGGGGTCCATCATGTTTCTCAAATAGCAGCTGAGGCAACAGGCAGAGGCATCTCAACCATGAGGCCCATGCAGGGCCACACGCCCCTATCAGCTGGCTGACAGCCAGGTCAAACTCAAGCTGATAGGCGGAAATAGAAGTCAACCAACTTCCCATTGGTTGTTTCAGGAACCATATGACTGGATATGCTAATTATCTCTATGTGGCAGTTGAAATCCCTGAGAGCTGAGCAGCACAGGCACTGAAAGGGAGGAAGAGAGCGAGACAGTAGGAAGAAGAGGGGGAGTGACTGCAGCATGCACTCTTAGGAAAAGCTGCTCTGCAAACTGCAAAAGTCAAACTGAGAACTCTTAAAAA